ATTTTGCCACAACTGTATCCGATACTTTATGAAACACTGGACGAGTTCAAGGCGCAGTTGCGTGAATGCACTCACTTACAACACATAATTGGTCAGAATAAGCAGCTACTGCGTACGAAGCCAAATTCGTCACCACCGGGAAGTAGTGTGAAAGAAACTAAACGTGGTTAGGATCAAGAAATCGGAATCGCAATTACACACTTGCAAATACTATATAACTAACAATATGTATGCACACTAGCGTTTTTGCACATTAGGGTGTACCTTAAAATATCAGTAATTTGGGGCAACCCTCGAAAATTTAAAAATAAAACAAATTAGGGGTCGGTTCCAGGGTTTAAAGAATTTATTTATTTTTATCGCAAAAGTTGCACAACATCTTGACTTTGCCAAGCTATAACTGAGCGAGTTTATGAATTTATATGAATGAGTTTCAATGCGCTGCGTTATAGGTGCTCAAAATCGAAATTTGGTTGAATTATTGTGATTAAAAAAAAATGTCAAACCCTTAAAAATTTCCTTGTCTTTATTTTATACGTGGACTTAAATATACGGCTGCCCCGTGTTCGTACTTTAAGGGCCACCCTACACACAACAACACCCTGTACATCCATTTTTGTGGCAAAAGGAAGAAGCTCCTAACCCTTTTGTAATGATTGGGTCAAAATTACCCAATTCCAATGAAAAATTTCTTTAATTACAGAGTTAGGTAATTTTAAATAAGCTGCGGCGTTATCTTTACGTTTTGCAAAAAATAAAAGAGTTTTTTATTTTATTTTGTTTTTTAGAATGCGACATATGTAGTTTTTCCAAACACCCACAGTGTTTCGGGGTCATTATGACCTAAATTATTATTTAGTATTTAAGGGCAACTTTGAACCGGTAAGCACACAATACTTGCCGATAAACTGTCTGATTGTGATGAATAAAATATTAACTGATTTAAGTGTCGTTTTTTTTCATAAAATTTATTCATTTATATTATTGGCTCCAAATGACCCAAAACATTATAGGAAGGGGTAAATTCCAAACACTGCAGAAGGGTTAAGTTCACATGAGAAAACCGGTAGGGCACCACGTACCAAAAATCAAATCAACAGTTATACATGCATATGCATCTACATACATACATATGGGTCATACCATACAATATTTACACTACAATATTTTTTTGGGGTGAAATATATTTGTTTACATACCTTATCGAAAAAAAGGAGACACCTATTATTTTATTTTGTCATGATATTCGAAAACTCGAAAAAAATTTCCCGAAATTTTGAACTTACGGAGAAGTATCTTTTTTCAATATAATGAAGTTAATAAAAAATAAAAGAATGCGATTTTTTAATGCAAATATTTTTTTATTTTAATCTATTTCACACTCTCATGGAAAGCCGAGGTAATTACACACATTTTGATACCTTAACTGATTTTCTCCGACAAATAGTTTATTAACTGCAAGCAATTGAAAAAAGATACTTATCCGTGAGTTCAAAATTTCGGGAATTTTTTTTTCGAGAGTTTTGAATATCATGACAAAATAAAAAAATTGTTGTCTTCTTTTTTTCGATAAAGAATGTAAAAAAAAAAAATATTTCGACCAAAAAAAAATATTGAGATGTAAATGTTGAATGGAATGACCCATATGTATTTGTATTAATTTTGGAAAAAAAGCATATTTCTACCTGCAAAGTGCTTTCCTTCAAATGACAAAGCCACACTTACATACAAATGCGCTTTATCCTTTACAGCAGAGGTTGATTTCCAAACGATTGTCTCAATATATTTTTGCTTAAATAATACAACTAAAAATATTAAATAACTATGACTTAAAATTTGTGGTATTAAATATTTTTACTTTATAATGCTTACATATAAGGCTTAAGGGGTTATATCCAACTTTAGTGTAAATATTTATATGTATAAATGAATTTCGATACTTTTTTATATATACATTTTTGTAATAAAAACATTATATATACTATAACCAGGACCGGATTAATATCTGTGGGGCTTAGGGGTTAGAGGAAATGTGCAGTCCCTATAGCGATTACCTGTAGATTAAATGCAATGCGTTACCTGGTAAGCCCGGGAACTATTCAAGACAACTTATTTGTCTCGATGATGTAACGTGGGCCCAGAATAGCGAAGAATCACTCGCGATGCTACTCAACGCACACTTCCCAGTAGGAATCTCAGAGTCGGAGCCGACAGCTCATGGCAGCCGAAGGGCCAGATCTGATTGTTGCATCTTTAGTAATTCCAGTCAAGATTGAAGAGGCGATACATACCTTCTCGGAATTAAAATCACCCGGCATTGACGGTATTTTCCAAGACTAACTTCAAAAAGCTGGAAACAAAATTTTAGAGTACTTTTGTGACCTATTCGTAGTCTACATATCTACATCATGAGGAATGCACCAGTTGTCTTTCTGCCAAAAGTAGGTAAAAGCAGCCCTAAAGATTATAGGCCTTTCAGCCTAACATTCTTTCTAACATAAAAGAAAGCTTAGATGAGAGACAACTGTCGAGGCAAGGCTTTTTGCAACGGGGCAGTATTAGATTCAGAACGTACGATAACAGTAGTACGAACCGGCAGTCCATACGTCCTTTAAACTACCACATCGTTGCAGTATTTATTAATAAAGACAGCGACAGAGATACTAAAGATCAACCCGCCAAGCGAACTGAAAAACATCTGTCAGGCGGCCACTAAAGGCGGATACACCGTTTGTGTCCGGACACTTTTTGTTAGTAATTTTACGCGTTACTTTCCCACTTTGTCTCAATGAGACCGCGACAAAAATCTGCTGAACACTCTTTGTTCGAATCAAACTGATTTTGATTCTCCGTCCGACGGGATGATTTGAATTAATTTAATTTAATTTGTATACCCCCTAATAATATTTTAAATGTCCAATGTGAAGGTTTCTTAACAATCTTCCGTTTAAAATACATATTTTAATTTTTCATATAGCTTGCGAATAATTAATTTCCATTTGACTTTTAAATAATGTGGCAGCCGCTTTCAAAATATTTTCTACTATTACTACAACTTTTTCAAGCCACTTGACAACCAATTTTTTATATAATTTATAATAAATAATTCCCTTAATTCAAGTTGAATTTAATTTTTTAAAAAGGTGGCAGCCCTTTTTCTATGAATATGGGATGATTTCATATATCTCCATACCAAGTTGCAGTACTCTATATATACAAATATTTCCTGAGATATGCAGTATAAAAAATTCCGTTTGTTTGGGAGTTGCCATGCCCCATCTTCTAATTGAGATTTAATCTAACCTATATTTTAAATTGGGCTAGATAGCACCAGATTACAAAATTTCATAATGGCCGGATGAGTAGCTAAAGCGTGAAAGCGTAACAGACAAACTTACCCACTTTTGGATTTATAATATCGAGCCCTAACCGCCAAAATAACGTAAGCGACATTTTTTTTCAAAATTTTCTTTTTGATGCAGAAATATTCCTATAGCATCAAGATGCATTTCTGCATCAAAAATAAAATTTCGAAAAAAATTTCGCTTACGTTATTTTGGCGGTTAGGGCTCGATATTATTAAAGAATTAGGGATTCACGAGCCAATGCCATTTTAAGATTCATTACGGATGCCGAAGGTATCTTATGTTGAAATACTGGGTTAGGGACTCTCTTTATATGCCTACAGATCGCAGTGTCTCTTGTTTTGATATACACACACACTGGATTATTTACTACTAACTCCTACTCAACTGCCTCCAAAGGGAAGTTATGATACACATGTCGAGCCCTAACCGCCAAAATAACGTAAGCGACATTTTTTTCAAAATTTTCTTTTTGATGCAGAAATGTATCTAGAAGCTCTAGGAATATGTCTGTATCAAAAAGAAAATTTTGAAAAAAATGTCGCTTACGTTATTTTGCCGGTTAGGGCTCGATATGTTTTTTGATATTCTTAAAAAAAATAACTAAGTAATTTTTCAGCAAAGAACAAAACCAAAGTTATGCGGTAACATAGGTATTTACAAAAAAAAAAAAAATATTTCGATGAATTGATAACCTCCTCCTTTTTTGAAATCGGTTAAAAAAGATATCCGCAAAGCACAGTTTTTTATTGTCATCTCAAAACGTGTAAAACTGGGAGCTTTCAAAGATAGAATCCGAGTTACACGTGTAAAAGTATCTATAAACGTAATGTGTAAATATGTTTCTAGTTGCAGTGTGAATTTTAAAGTGTCTGGAGACGGCAAGTAATCATTTTAATACAGGCAATCTCCGATACAACAAACAGGCACGTAATTAACACATTTTTTAAATTTATAGTAAATTAGCCAATATCTGCTTGCTTCGTGGCGCCTGATAAGAACTTTTCCGTTGGCCAAGGCAAAATAGCATTGAAAAAAACAAGCTTTTTAAAGTAAAAGCTCTTTGTTTAGGTTGAAACGGCTAAAGAGCAGAGCGCTCCTCACATATAGGCCAAGACGAATAGCGCTGTGATATCATATGGAATACTGATCGCTTTTGGATGTCATGAGCTTTGCAGATGGTCATATTTCCACCTTCTACTTCTATGATATTGCAACTACAAAATCGATTCGATGCGTATTATGTTATGTAAGCCAATTAAAATCATTTTAAGGAAAGTGAATTGCACTGAATGTGTGTGTGTGTGTGTGTGTGTTTTTTTTTTTAGGAGGGCCATGAATATTTCCTAGTTAATTCGCAACTTTTACAGTTGTTAATAACCAGGCGTCCACGTACGTATGTATATTAATTTGATTCCTCGATCGGAGAAGTAGGGCATTCAGCAAAGAAATTCGCTTTGTCTATGCCTGATTGCCACAGAAGGAAAAACTCGTTGGTTCACTCTGGGTATTTGATCAAAATCTCTTGCTGTCTCCTAATTGGTAAACACTTCTTCTTGATACACCCGTGACGCGGTGCCTAGAAAATCTGAATGACCAGAGATTCCCTTGATACATGAACTGGTGTCTTTGAGTTTTCTAGTAGCCTATAATAAGACCACATACGCAAGTTATAACCTTCGAAAATTTGACTAAAATCTATGCAGTGGTTTTTGAGTTAAGTCCGAACAACAAAAACGGCTATCATTTTATATATATCGATTAGTTATATTGAATATGGAAAGGTTCCGAAAAAAGTCAAGCGTTCGATTTCCTGTTACTACACACTCTCATACATATATATAAATATAAGTAGTATAACGAATCGTTGCATAGAAGTTCGTTATAAGGAAGCTGGACTGTATAGGTATAGTATAATTAATACCTAACTTCGCTGATAAGTAGTGTTGATCAAAGCACTGAGCAAATAAGTGCATTACATTCTCAAACACTTTTATCTTTTTTTTCTTATTTTGCTGCCTTTTTTTGAGGAATGTAGTTGAAATAAAAAGCAAATAATTATATTTGTAATTTAAGCATTTATAAATATAAACTGATTCTGTTATATATGGGCAAATCTCCGGAACCATGTGCTTTTGTTTCACGCACCTTTAAACTAATTTTATTAATGTAATTTTACTTTTTATAAGAAACTTGGGTAATTTCGATAACAAATGTGACGAGTTCTTGTAACTTGTTTAATTTTTTTTATTGCAATAATGCCATTTTTATTTTTATAAGCAATCAAAGTAATTAAAATAACAATTTGTACGCAAAACGCAGCGCAAAATGGAGACTTTCAATAATCATGGCGAAAAGTAAGTAGCTCTTTTCCATTTTGAACTTTCAGCAAATACTAAATTGTTCCTATTTGTTTATATATGTACATATTAATTACACATTAAGTATAAAAATAAGACCTTTTACAGCTGCGTGCCTTTGAAAATATTGAAAATATAAAACAAATGAAGGGATTAGAATCAAAAGGGTCTAAGTAGTTCTGAATTTTTTTTTTTAGATAATTAAGGCTAAAGTTGATTACTTATTGTAAATTCTTGGTAAATGCATTTAAAATGATTCTTGCCGAAATGAATGCATAACTTATATATTCAAAAAATTTCACTCAGACCCTTATGATTCGAACCCCTTCAAATATTGTCTGAATAGGTCTTTGCGTTGATGGCTTCAAAATGTCCCTTTTTTGATGGCACACTGACAGACTAAAACATAACAGGTTGGCATTAAGCGTGATCGCTAGATAACATTCTACACAAAGTTCGTTGAAAATGCTAAATACATTAAATTATTTTTGTCTAAAATACGACAAGGAATTTTTATGTGTACATGTAAGGATTTTCAAATCTTTGGGCAGTGAGATTAACGAATTTTTAAATATTTACTCCAAAAGAATATTTTCAATGGATCTTAAGCGAGAATTAGTTTTCCGTAAAATTTGTTTGAAACTGGGCGTGGCCCACCTATTTATGCCAAATATTTGTATCTCGAAAACGACTTCATCAATCTGTACCAAATTCGATATACACATTGAGCCTGACCTTCTTAAATACTGTTTTGAAAATTTTTCAAATCGGACAAAAATCAGGCGCTCTAGAAGTATCGCTAACATTGAGTTTACAAAAATTATCGTTTTTTACTTATAACTCTTTAAGCATTTGAAAAAAATTTATCACACAAGAATTTAATGTTTCTTCAATGGATTACAAAAAAATTTTATGTAGAATTTATTTGTGTGCATTCAATTTAAAAATTTACGTTTTTTTAGCGTTAAATCGCACGTTTCCGAAGATTTGCCCATATATGTATGTGTTTAAAGAAATCAAGATACACGCGATTCGTTTATTAGGGCTAAGTACTTTGGCATATGATACGCCTGTAGTCCATAAAAGTGGAGCGGTATATACCTACTGACATATTTACCCTTAGTCTGGCTTTTGCAAGTTACATAAAGTGAAACCTTCTGTTAGAAGCTTGATTTACAAATTCAACTTTCACAGCGTACAACTATAAAAAAAATTAGGGGTTTTCAGTGCAGATTACAGTAAACGAGCAGCAGACGAACTATTACCAGTCAAACAGTCGCACCTCGAAAAAATAGAAAACCTCTTTCATTTGGGAATCAGCACAGAAGACAAACTTTTGGACTCTGCCAATGTCGCTTAGGATGTTGCAGCACCAAATAAGAAGAAGAAGATGAAAGGAAAAAATGTTTTTATTAAATACAAGTTAAATATACACAATGCCGAGAGACAGCGCGACGCCTGTTGGCATTCTTACCCCTGTATTAAATATGTTTGTCACGTAATATGTAGTCCTATGAAATGTTAACTCACGGCACGAATTACTATCCCAGATAACAAAAATAAAAATGATAACAATTTTCAATTTTTCATGGTATTAGCTTAAGATTGGTAATTTGGTTTGTTGGGGTCGAGAAATATATTTCTGATATATGTACATACATATGAAAATTCGGTAAGATTTAAAACCGAATTTGAGTCCGACCCCCTTTAAAAAGTAAAAAAAAAAACACACTAATTTCACTTTTGTCTGTTTTATCTCACCACTTCTTCCAAACGTACGAAAAAGGTGGAAAGGATCTCTCCCCCACGACTACTTGTGGCACTGCAAATGTATGTAAATAAATGTCGCCTTGTAAAACCATTCATTTGAAAGTACTTAATAGTGATTTTCATTGCATCAACTTATGGCTATCTTTATTTCCATCCGTGCCTTTAGCGCTTAAAACCAAGCACACATTAATTCATGAAGAGCTACTTAATGTAATATGATAAGCATAGATAAGTTTTGTAAACTAAATATCAGTAGGGGTCTTCATCTAAAGTGATAAAGGGATAAATTACTTAAATTTACCAGTTTATCCGCATAAAACTGTTTATTATTTAACTTATATTACATTTCATTCTTACCTCGTCCATTGTGTTCATTTGCTTATATGTGCACCCAGAAAAAAAATCGTGTTAAAACAACCAAATTTTAACCAATTTTGTGGTTATTATTTTCCAACGCGATATGTCATGTTATTTTCACATGAAGGAAATTTTTTAACATTTTTCCCTCTTGTTGACTTAACATTGGATAATTGTTAATTTAACATTGAAAGTGCTGTAAATTTAACCTGAAACATCGGTTTATTTTAACAAGGCATGTGGTTGGTTTCACAGGATATTCTACATGAAAATACTGGTTGAATCAACAGGAGTTGTTGTTAAAATAACACTACGTCTTCATGTTAAAAGAACCATATTTTAATGTCATTTTAATATGACATCGTGTTACCTTGTGTCCCTACTTTTACAAAATAAATAACAATTTGTTTAGTTTATTTTTATTAAAAAAATTGAAATATTTACACTGTTGACTTAAAAACTAAGTACTTATCTATTTATTACACAAAATTCATACACAAAAATTTCATATGTACATACATACATACACTATAGTGCGAAACTGAGTCCATGGTGATTTTTGTTGTACATGTGCAAGGTTTTTAAAGTTAAATTTTTTTTGTTACTTTTTTATGAAAACATGGTTTATGCTTTAACCCAAACTATATAAATCAAACTTTCAGTTTTTATGCAGAGCTTAGAAAAACTCAACAAATTTTTATAAAAATTGTGGACTTTTAAAAAACTTTCAAACATTTTTGGGTAGTTTTGTAGCCTGTTAAATTTTAGTATGATAAAGCGCAAGTTTTAAGCGGATAAAAAATTGCTGACGGCTTTTGCGGTTTTTTTTATACAACAAGTGCAATTTATAAAAACTGACAATGAAAAAGTTTTTAAAAATCAACGCGATTTTTTATCCGCTTACAACTTGCGCTTTATCAGACTAAAATTTAAGAGGCTATAAAACTGCATGCCCAAAAAAAGTTTGAAAGTTTTAAAAGTCCACAATTTTTATAAAAATTTGTTGAGTTTTTCTAAGCTCTGCATAAAAACTGTATCAAATTGTTTTAAATACTTTTTAAACGGATTGCTTTTTGATTGTTTTGAAAAATATGAATATGTACAGGAGATGAGCTAATTTTGTCTGCACTTATAAAACTATAACTATCTGATTTTTTCACCTACCAAGTATGACTGAATATGTGTACTGAAATTTATAATTTCCCACTGTGAACAAATAAAGAAAAGTTTTTGCATCAAACTTACAACAATATCTTCGATTTGAAACAAGTATAAAGCCTCCTGTTTTACAATAACAAAAAACCCTCTTTTAAATAAAAATCCTTTAAAAGTAACTTTTGAATAAAATTGATAATTAGATAATTCATATTCTCTTTGAAAATCGGAATTGTATTTAAAGCTTAAAGTAACGGGTGATTTTTTTGAGGTTAGGATTTTCATGCATTAGTATTTGACAGATTACGTGGGATTTCAGACATGGTGTCAAAGAGAAGGATGCTCAGTATGCTTTGACATTTCATCATGAATAGACTTACTAACG